GCAAAAGCAACACTTGGGTACCAACAACCACCATCAAGAAACCCATGGTACGATCAGGAGTGTCGTAATGCTACTGATGTGAAACACACAGCGTATAGGGTAACTCTGCAGACAGTAGCAACACGTAATGTGATGGTGAATTATCGGGAGAAAAGGAGAGAGGAGAAACGTATTTTCAGAAAAACTTTGAAAGAACTAGAAAAACATGAGCGGGAGAAAATCGAGATTTACAGGTGTCAGAACGAAGTCCGGAAATTTTACCAACGGGTAGAACACCAAACCGAAGGTGCAGGCACATCCTCCTGTAGAGATGAAGAAGGAAACCTGGTGACGGATACAGACAGTGTGCTGAGGATCTGGAAGGATAGTTTTGAAAAGCTTCTGGTATCAAATAGTGGCGGCGAAGAAGATACCCCAGAACCAATATGAAATGACGCTATAGAGTGTGGTATACACCTCCCCAAGATGAGGTCAGAGTAGCTATCAATCGGCTGAAGAATAATAAAGCAGCATGTGCCTATGGGTTACCAACCGAACTATTCAAGACTGGTGGTCAGATGCTGGTCAGGAGCACCTGAAGCCAATGGTCAATGACATTATTGGAACATACCAATGCGGATTCAGACCTGGAAAATCCACCATTGATCAGATTTTCACTCTGCGCCAAATCCTGGAAAAGACCCACGAAAAACACATTGGCACATACCACCTATTCGTCGACTATAAAGCCGCATTCGACAGCCCCATCCGTTCAGAGGTGTTTAAAGACATGTCTGCGTTCGGCATTCCTGCTAAATTAATACGGCTATGCAGGATAACTTTGAGAGGCACAAGGTCAGCAGCATGATCCAATAAACAGGTTGTGTCAGAAGCAATCGTTATCAACAATTTTGGATTAAAATTCCCCAAGCTGTCAAATTTTTTGTTTACGTTTTCGCACAATTAGGTCTAAATTGAAAGCATTTTGAGCTCGGTTGAAATCATCTCGCCTTATCGGACGACCTTATTATTGGATCATGGTCAGCAGTTAACGTGGGAAAGGACCACTCGGAGCCCTTCAATACCGAAAAAGGATATAGACAAGGCGACAGTTTGTCGTGTGACCTTTTTAACATCCAGCTGGAAAAGGTCATACGAGAGGCAAAGGTCAACAGAAATGGCACTCTGTACACCAAACAACACATGTTACTCGCCTACGCCGATGACATCGATATAAAGGGTCGAACATTGAGAGCGGTAACAATCACCTTTGAACGAATTAAGAAGGAGTCTGCCAAAGTGGGTCGGGGAGTAAACGGCGAGAAGACCAAGCTGATGGTATCAATGCGCAAGACGTTCAGTAGACTCGGACCAACTATGGAACTTGGCACCGCCATAAGTAAAACTAATGACATCACTTTTGAAATTCGGAGAAGGATTGTGGTAGCCAACAGATGCTACTATGGTCTAAGTAAGCAGTTTAGAAGCAAGGCCACCTCTCGCCAGACGCTGATATTACCCGTGCTGTTGTATGGATGTGAAGCATGGGTGCTTGCGCAAGCAGATTAGGCAGTTCTTGGAGTGTTGGAGAGAAAAATTCTCCGGAAGATATATGGGCCGATCTGCGTCGATGGTGAATATCGCCGTCGAATGAACCATGATCAATGCCATATATTCTCCGACATCGACATAGTCAGACGGATCGAGCTGCAGCGACTACGTTGGTTAGGTCACCTTGTGAGAATGGATGAAGATGCTCCAGCTCAAAAGGCATATAAAAGCGAGCCAAGTGATGGTTCACGCAAAAGCGGAAGGTCACGAATCTGATGGAAAGATCAAGTAGAAGACAACATCACGGAAAATGGTATTCCAAATTGGATAAGATGCGCACAAGACCGACGCGCCTGGAAATCTTTTTTAAGCTCGGCTTATGGAACAATCGTTCTGTCATAAGCCAGCTAAGTAAGTTATCAACCGAATTGGCTGAAATTTTGTATTGAGGGTTCTCATTGCATAGCAAATCTCCATACTAAAATAATTAATTTAAATTCCCTAAGGAGTAAATAAATATTGGCTATGGAGCGTCATTGAAAATAGAGTCAATATGTACTCATTGATAATCCATTCACATTATAGTATATAGACAATGAGTCTATAAAGTTAATGACAAATGTCCACAAATGGTCGCAAAAAGGACCAACCTCTTATAGGCTTCAAATCGTCTATAACTTCTTTCAGCCCTTCAACTCGTCTTAAAAGTCCACTCGTCGCTTAGTTCACCTATAAGTACTTCCAACTCTCCAGTTCGTCTATAAAGGCTCCCAGAACTTCAGCTCGTCTATAAAGACTCCCTGCTTCAGCTTGTCTATAAGATTCCCTACTTTATAACGTCTATAAGGACACCCTGTTTCAAATCGTCCTTCGACTCGCCTTTAAAATCCTAGGATCGCCCAGGTCGTTTATAAAGGTTTCCAGCACTTCAGCTCGCCTATAGAAGACCCCCAACATCACTTGGTCTTCTGAAGATTTTCTGCTTCAACTATTCTATAAAGACTCCCAGCCCGTCAGGACTACTCTAAGTACTTCCTGCCCTTCAGCTATTTTAGAAAATCTCCCACTTCTTCAGTCAGTCTATACAGACTCCCAGCCTAGTCTGTGGGTAAAAAGCTGTTGCAATATCATGCAATTGTGAAATATTTACACATATAGACGAGAAACGTGCCAGTGTGGTAAATTACATTGTAACCTATTTGAGTTGGAATTATAAAAAGTTTTTGAAACCGCAAATACAAAATATTGTGTCTCATACACTCTTCAAAAAAGGGTGATTGGTGATGAAATTCAAGAGAATATTTTTCATTGCACCTATCCTTTGGTGAACATTAGAAGGCGTGAATTCATAACTATAACAAGGCGTGGATTTATTTTTTAACGTTGAACTTCACTGTTTAATTGCCACTCAAAACCGTGAGGCATTATCTATTAAACTTAGTTATTTTTTTTTTCTTCACGAATATACAATATGAGAATGTACTGTTGCCTATATTTTAATAAAAATTACAAATCTTTCGTTTTCGTGTATGCCTCTGCTTATGACTATTGCTAATAGATTGTGGATACAAATCGGACCACTTCCGATTTTTAACCACAATCTGATAAGAATAGTCATAAGCAAAGTCATGTATAGGTTGTTCATAAGTCGTGTCCTAGGTCATGGTTTTTCTCTCTTCGGTTGCTGGTATATACAGTGGATCACACTGAAAGTTTTTGTCGGTGTATCATTGGGATTTGTTCCATGCATCCAAATGTTTGTCTAATCAAAAATGTTTGTCACATGTCTCTTTACATAGTCAGGTGTATGTGAGTAATAGTGTTGTAGACCGGCACCGGGGTCATCACCTTTTACCAATAGTAAATTATGCGGGTCTCAGTCATAACTTATTTGTTTTGGCAAACAATTTCGTGCATGGCAAAGAATCCCCCTTGCAAAAACATTTTGGTAATTTTTTTCTTCTATTGAGAAGAAGCCTAGGCAGTACATCCCCTCCATAAATAAACATTTCCCCTAAGGGATTTTAGTAAATATGCAACTATTTCGAATTAGTTATAATTTTTTAGATAACTGTAACATGAAATAAAAAAAACAAATAGATAATAAACCTCGTGAAGTTCAAGGTATGCAGTTATGTAATTTTTTTTTTTTTTTTTTTTTTTGAAGCCAACATTTTATGAGTGAATGAATATTTTTTAATTTTTATTAAAGAATATTTTTTCAAGGCCTAAAACAAGGCCTGCACATATTAAAGCATATTTTTTCAAGGCCTAAAACAAGGCCTGCACATATTAAAGCATATTTTTTCAAGCCCTGAAACATGGCGTTGATTTATTAAAGAATATTTTTCAAGGGCCAACTGAGGCGTGGATTTATTAAAGAATATTTTTTCAAGAATTATAAAAATCGTTGGTTTATTAAATTAATTATAATTACCAGATAAAATTAAATATTAGTGTCAAATTTCACCTTTTTTAAAGTCTGGCAAATACGAATACATTTCTGCGAGCTCCATAATGTTTATAATTTCTGATATAAATTGCGCACATGTCTTGACTATGTTATCACTATGTCCAATATTGACAGACTTATGTATTTATGTGTGCATACGTATGTGATCAAATAAATCGATTATATTCTCAATGTACTTACTATATTTTCAGCACAATATTGTGCAAAAAATTAATCAAAACCAGTTAGGAAAGGACTAAATGATTCATATCGGTTTTATTTGGACCTATATATAAATCGGATTCACGTATAACAGCTAATTCCTATGAATGGGAATTAAATCCATTTATAATTTCGAAACTTTCTTTCAATTCCCAGTCATTCATGAATCATTTTTCGATAATAGATCATAACAAACCAGACAGGCAGCATTTGAAGACTACCAAAAACAAAATCAGTAGCTATATATAGTTTGTTTAATTGAAATTTACAATTTTTTTATTTTATTAGGTTTTGTTGGTACATATCTATGTTTTGTTTTATTTTTTCTTATCATTTGAAACAATGTATTTTCTTGAGGGTATTTATGTTGTCGTCTACATTACGTTATCAATATCTTTAGATAACAAGTTTATCGATATAATTTCAAACTAACAATTAACTATATCGAAGTTTAAGTAACATGAATTTGAAGGGGTGTGTGTATCAATTAATATGTGTGTTTTGGTTTTGTTTGCATGTTTGTTGATTTGAATAGTACTGGCTACATTTCTTAGTTTGCCTTAATTTTATTTTGGTTGTTGTTTTCTAATTTACTTTATATTATTGCCAATTTAATAAATTAAAAAAATGATAATCTTAAATTAATTTACCATAATTCAAAAATATATAATAAAAATTTAGATTTTGTTCGTGAAATGAATATCATTTTTAGTTTTCATATTTAAATTTCTATTATATATTTTTGAATTTTGGTATTTATTAGTTAACTAATAGTTTATAGTTGGTTGTTGTTGATTTATTGATCAACTTTGCCACTGGATGATGTTGGTCCTTGTATCATATCTAAGGCGGCAAATTTCCAACGCATATAGGCAACACGCATACGATCCCATACATTATCGACCGAATCTAAGGCTGGACGAACATCGAGCAGAGCAAATTTATAATCATTGTCGACAACACCGCCATCGTAGTAATCAATAACGTAACGTACTTCTTTGCCGCAACGATCAACAATCCAATCGTGACGATCGAAGGGTAGTTCATAACTGAAAGGGAAAAAAGAAAAAAAAATTAATTAAAAGAATATTTTTTCAAGGACTGTAAGAAGATGTCGATTTTTCAAGAATATTTTTTCAAGGTCTATAAGAAGGCATGGATTTTTAAAGAATATTCTTTCAATGTCTACAAGAATGCGTGAATTTCCTAAAGAACATTTTTTCAAGGTCTATGGAAGGCGAGGATTTTTAAAGAATATTTTTTCAAGAACTCTAAGAAGGCGTGAATTTTTTAATGCATACTTTTCAAGGACGTAGATTTTTTCAAGCCGGGGATTTTTTAAAGAATATTTTTTCCGGGTCTGGATTTTTAAAGAACATTTTTCCCGGTCTATAAAAAGCCGCAGATTTTTAAAGAATATTTTTTCAAGGTCTATAAAAAGCCGCAGATTTTTAAAGAATATTTTTCAAAGTCTGTGAAAAGCCGCTGATTTTAAAAGATTATTTTTTAAGGTCTATAACAAGGCGTGGATGTTTAAAGAATATTTTTTCATAGTCTATGAAAACCCGCTGATTTTTAAAGATTATTTCTTAAGGTCTATAACAAGGCGTGGATTTTTACAGATTATTTTTTAAGGTCTATAACAAGGCGTGGGTTTTTAAAGATTATTTCTTAAGGTCTATAACAAGGCGTGGATTTTTAAAGATTATTTTTTTTAAGGTCTATTACAAGGCGTGGGTTTTTAAATATTATTTTTTTTAAGGTCTATTACAAGGCGTGGGTTTTTAAAGATTATTTTTTTAAGGTCTTTAAGATGGTTTGGATTTTAAAGAATATTTGTTCAAAGTCTACAAGAAGGTGTGGATTTTAAAGAAAATTTTTTCAGAATATTTGTTCAAAGTCTACAAGAAGGTGTGGATTTTAAAGAAAATTTTTTCAGAATATTTTTTCAAGGTCTATAAGACCCGGATCAAAGAATATTTTTTTAAGATCTAAAATTAATTTAGGTGCGTCTATCAATATTACATAAATATTTAAATTTCCCACGATTGTCCTTTCTATGAATTACTACATAATTTTTGCAGTGGGAAAATCCATATTACTTAGTTCCAAAATACCCTTTCTAGTAACTGACATTTTCTACCTCCTCATAGATTCTAAATTCAATATCCTTTAAACTAGCCCCCATTCATTTATCCTTTCCAACTTACCCCAACAAACTGCGGAAACGAGCACGAGGACTGTAATCGGATGCCTTGCCGCCAAAACTCTTCAAACGAGGATTACCGCATTCTTTGGCATGTAGCGCTTCCCATTTGAGAACCTCCTTCCAGGCCTGTTCGTTATTGGCATTGTGTATGCGAATAATATCACCCATATCCTTTTGCGAGATATCCTCATTCTTCCAGCGCCAACCTTTGCGTAACATAGCATTCCAGAACATTTGCTGACTAGGATATTGCCAATATTGTACACTACCATCTTCGGTTACTTTGGGTATACTTGATGTTTGACGGTCAGTGGGCAGAGGGAAGGGTTGATCGGGAGCTGGCTTTTGATTGGCTGGAGGCATCATATTCAAGGGATTTACATCACTTTCATCATGTTTAACGGGGCATTCGGAAGCCGATACTGTTGTTGCTTGCATCTTAGGATGTGGTGGCTTAATGTCAGCACCGGCTGTGGCACCTTTTTGGTGCATAGGACATTCAGGAGGAGGATTAGCACCGGAGGACATCATGTTCTCGTGACTTTTAGGAGGAGCCTGGGCGGCTTGCATTTGGGCTATTGAAACAGCGTTTCCCATGATTGAGAATTCTAGAAACAAAACAAAAAAATTGAAAATTAAATTATTAACACATGTTTTGTAACACAACGCATGTAATCTTCCGCTGTGCGGAGACGGATGCACCCACCATAACAACAAAAACAACAACTTAAAGCCCCCACAGAGAGGGAATATGAAAATTCCTTAGAGTGTTATTGCGTAATGTTGTTGTAATATTCGTTTCAAAACAATTCCATTTTGATTTCCACATTAATTATTTAATACTTACATTTGTTTTTCTAAACAATCTAAAATTTCAGAACTTGTTTTTCCAAATTTTGTTGCCTGACTATATTTTCAAGTTTATTTCATAAAATTTATTTTCTACACATCGAATTGAATGTTCAAGGGAACAAATTTGAGGGAGAACTAGAAATGTCAATGGAAATTTAGAATTTTGTAGTGATGTTGATGTAGTTAGCGGGTACCTTTTTCAGCAATGGGTAATCGTTCTATTCACGTGTTAATATAGGGTTACCATGTAGCAAGAAATCGTAGTATAAATTAGGAATGGAAATTTTTCATATATTTTAGAAAGAAAAAATAATTTAAGAAATTGAGTGCACTGTTTTCGGTGAAATTGAAACCATTACATAAAATTGTATTTGAATTAGCCTAATTTTCTCAAGAGAAATAGTCACCCAGGGGATTATTTGCTTCGAAGCATGGTAATACGAGGTAAATAAAAAAGAAAGCAACTCTGTTGGTGGTGTTTCTTTTTGTCAAATATAAAAAAATATACGCACAAGATTTTTGTTGATTTGTATTTTTTTTTTTTTTTTAATTAAACTACTCTCCATAATATTGCCATTGCCCTACCTTGTAATAATTATACCATGGAAGTAACCGATTTCATTCACATTTTGCACATCGTAGCATTTCTTCCAAACATAAACCGAGTTCGATGATGGGAAATATCGGTCCTCTCCCTCTGGTATCCGCCATACAAAATGTTGTTGAAAATTAAATTTAATCAATCAACATGCCTGTATTGAATTAAAATATAAAGCAAAATAGAACCTCCGAAAGAAAGGGCTCCGAAGAAAAGGCTGAGGGTATTTATCCGTAGTTGCAGTAGGTCTTGATAGTTTTTATGAATTGTGAAATAGTTAAGCGATTAAACGAGCCATTAATGTCATATATGCAGTCACTACATTTTTTATTTTCACCAATTTAACATAATTTGTTCAAGCAATTTTCAGACATTTATCTTTATTTGCCAAATAAAAAACAGCTGATATGCATACACAAATAAAGCGGCACCTAAACGAAATGACATATGTTCTGTCGTATCGTTTAAACAGAGGTAAATCTTCCTGTGAGCCACAATACATGTGCAGTATTCACATATATACAATTTGACAGTACATATGACATTGATGGCTCGTGTGACAATGACTTTAAAGGGCTAATCAGAATGCTCGCGTTGAGCCATCCGTCGAGTTATATGTTATCGAAAATACAACAACCACAAGGAAACGATATGCGTTTATGTTATCGTTTCTGCTTAGGCCCTAAAAGCGAATTTACATATAACATTTAATCATGATTAAAGGCTGAATCAGGGTTTATTTTCTTAATCAGGCTAAATTTACCATGATTTACCACACAAATTTAAATCATCGTGCAGCAGGATTTATTTTAAATCATGATCGAAATCATGATACTACTGAGATGCAACGCGGGCTTTGTACGAAAAAATACACCCCTCTCACAATGTACCAAAATTTGCAACTGTTTTTACATGCCGTTTGTTTTTAAATATAAAGGCTGACAAATACAAAAATGACAGATCAAATGAAAATAAAATTTAATTATAGAATTTTTGTGTTTTTAGGTGTTTTTTTTTTACTTTCCAAACGATCACAGTATTGCAAAAACATTTCCATTGTGATAATTATTCTATTCTTTTTCAAATTGCATACAAATATTTTTGGCGCAAATTAATAATTTTGTATGTATACTAACAAACATCAGCTGATCGGCATTTATATCATGATTAAGGGTATGTGTAAACAATTAGGGTGTATTTCTGGATTTCATTAATCGAGTCGATTTAAAATCGTATATGTAAATGTACTTTAAGTGGCATTTAGCTAAGTAAAAATAGTAACCAGTAAATGTAAATATACATTGTGTTTTTAGTAAATTCAATCGATTTAAATTGTCAATTCCTTTGCATATATGTAAAATATATTGTCAAAGAGGATGTTAAATCAGAAAAAAGTTATAATTTTTTGAATTGTTCTTGTGTTGAATTATAAAGATTTCCATTATTTTTCCAATTGATACATTTGCAATTTTTTCATAACTTTTCGTTTTATGTTATACTCTGAAAATATTGTTGATATTTTACCCTGGCATTATTCTTTTAGGGTCGTACCCATGGTATAATAATTACAAGGTAATTACAGCTACCAACTGATTACAATTTTTTCTCAAGGTGGCTTGTTCCATTAAATCAAAATACATATTTTGTGTATGTGTGTGTATTGTTGTGAATACAATGTCAAATAAATTCAAAATAAATTGAAATATATTCAAGTTTAATTGAAATGAAAATAAAGTTTTAACACGTTCGTCTGGAAGTAGTTACTTTGTTATGGACGAAACAAACATTTTATGGTATTCCCTACTGGATTTTGGGAAGAAATCATAACCTTTCATTCATTTTTTGCGTTTTTAGTTTTGTGTTGAAAATATGTCAAATAAACACAAACGCTTGTTGCGTATATTTATTTTATGTTTGGCAGAAGAGTCCAAACGTGCATAGTTGCTTTTTTGTTATTTACCTCAAGCTGCCCTACCTTGTATTATTGTACCATGGTCGTATCTAAATACATGCGTATGCGTACGATTTTATTCACCTCAAAAGTTAAATACATGTATTTCAATGGATGTTACCAAAATACACGTTGCCTATCAAAATATAAAGTTGAAAATTTTTAACATTGACAACGCGTATTTTGGACTTTTTGTTTTTTGAAAATAGAATTTCAGACATTGAAAATCTTGTGTTTTTATAAAAGTAAACTTTTTTCAATCAATTAAAAAAATGTTTTCATCCAATTTCGCCGTTTTCAATTGGCACAGATGCAAATAAAGTCCTTGCGTATTTGGGTAATACGGACGTATAACAAACCCTACAAAGGGGAAAAGGTGAGTATTTTTGTACGGAGAGCAATAAATTAGGTACGATTCTTAATGGAAATTATTATTTTCAACATTCCCTACATTTAAAAAGTATTATTCAGAATAATAACACGTTAATTTACAAATTAGTTGAATACTCTACTATAATGCACGTTCTGAAGCAAAATTAATTGCAATTCATCGATTAAATTCTCATTTTTTAAATAAAAGCTGATTATAGCAAATATTTATTTAAAAGTGTCTTCTGTAAACACAATCTAATTTTTATTTTCCCACCAAAATTGTTTATACCATAATCGATTTACAGTAGCCTATCATACAAGCCAAACAAATTGTAACGGCGTCACTGAAATTTCACAGCAGCAATGTACTCAATTTTGGCGTCGCGAATTGGCATATTCTCAGCTATTTTAGAAGAATTATTTCGTTCGTTTTGTTTTTCTTAATTTTAAATAACGAAAAAGTGAATAATAATGCATGACGTTGGCAGCTTTCAAAGGATTGAGAAAATTGGTGAAGGCACCTATGGTATTGTGTACAAGGCAAGGGATACAAAGACCGGAAAGGATGTTGCGCTTAAGAAAATACGCTTGGAAAGGTATGAAACCATAGAATTGAAGGCAAACAGTCTGTGTAAATATTGTGCGGTAAAAAGGACATTTTTTTTGGTTTTTGCATATCTATTTGCAACCTAAATGTCGCGACATATATATGTGTTGTTTGTGTGTTTTGATTATTTTTGTATGTGCATCAAAAGCCATACAATCGTTACATTCATTGGTCGTTCGCTGCCGTTAAGGATTTCGGGGCAAACATTTTGTTATTGTTTTTTTTTTATTTTTTTGTTTTAAAAAGCGGCATTAATTGAATTGAAATGGAAAGGAGGTCGCGGTATTAGACAGACAGGTGTTTTTGTTGTAACAATGTGTGTTGAATGTCCTTCATGAATGTCATTTGCTATGCGTTTCCTTTTGTGTGCCATGGCGCGGTGTATTTTCAATTGTGTGTGTGTGTTCGTGTGTATGTAAGACTATTTATCCTAGATATTGTAAAACAAGGAGAGACATTGCACTCTTTATCCCCAACTGATGCTAGACAATATCCGAATCATGTACGTGCTTCGGTGTATTTAAAATTCTAGAACGTAGCACCACATGATTCGGCTTTGTATAGTTATCGGAAATCACAAGTCAATAATGCAAAACGGTTTTTTTGGTTTTCAATCATAATATTAATTAAATCTATGTTCTACTTTCATCTTTTTCTTCTCTTTGCTATCCTATTGTTATGAGCTTTTTGAAGGTAATCATTGTTGCTATTAATTATTATTTTTATTAGAAATATATGCAATTGATTAATATTTTGTTTTTTACATTCCAGTGAAACGGAAGGTGTCCCTTCAACGGCAATACGTGAAATATCCCTTCTAAAGGATCTTCAGCATGACAACATTGTCCAATTGTTTGATGTTGTTGTGGCCGATTCTAGTCTTTACATGGTTTTTGAATATCTCAATATGGACTTGAAGAAATTGATGGATAAGAAAAAGGATGTCTTTACACCGAAATTGATAAAGGTTTGTAAAAAGTGTTTTGTTTTTATTTTTTATTTAATTAAATTACTGAATTATTGTTTGTGTATGTCATCATCCGACGATGTAGTCATGTCCGTCTGAATTGTCATAGAATGCTGAAATTTGGTTCACAAGTGTACTTTACATCTATCAATCATATAAATTTCGAAGATGGGACCTATCGTTCCACGCCCGATTTTTGCCTTTGCACTTCCAACCGCTCTGAATTGATATCCATATTGTCCCAGTGGATTTTTAAAAAGCATTTTGGAACAGCGGGAGCAGTACCTTTGGCCCTAACCAGTTCTTATTTCAGACATAATATATTTGACCGGTCCTTATATTAAAGGCAATGATCTTTACAGGTTCTTATCTCGGAGATAATGGTACTGACCGGCTGTTACCTCAGGGAAAAATGTCCTGATTGGTCCGTATCTCAGAGATAATGGTCCTGACCTGACCTGACCATTATCTCCGAGATAATGGTCCTGACCGGCCCTTATTTCAGAGATAATCATGCTGACCCAGAGATAATGATGCTGACCGGCCCTTACCCCAGAGATAATGACCCTGACCGGCCCTAATCTCAGAGATAATGGTCATAACCGGCTCTTATCTAAGAGATAATGGTCCTGGCCGGACATTATCTCAGAGATAATGGTCCTGAACGGGGCTTCTATCAGACATAAGGCTGACGTCAGAGTGCGCGCGAGAAGCGATGCTATGATATGCCGCTAGACGACGCTATAAACCTCTGCGTATGTTTTCTTATGGCATAGCGCAAAAGCTGTCAGAGTGGGTGCTACGCTGCAAGTTAGACAAAGCGAGTGCAAGCGATAAAGCGTGTTGTGCAATGGTTTATAACAAGAGCTCGCTTTGGCTCTGTTTGAGTTTCTTTGTTTATTATATTTTAATTTTGTATCTTATCGAATTTTAATGGCATGGATCAATCTGTCGGGATTTTTGTGGACTCAATTCCAAATTTAATTAAATAATTTGGAAAAAATAAGGGAAATCGATGCAGAAGTATTTGTTAATTTCATGAATTTTCTTTTAAAAATTACTTTGAAAATATTTTGCTATATGAAAAATTCTTCCTCTAAATCCTTCTTGAGTCAATAAACACCAGTTTACAACAGAAATAGGCGATGTAAACCAACAAAACGCTTTGCTCTCTATAGCACTCACTCTGACATACTATAGCATTGAGGTAGCATGAACTATTATAGCATGTAGTATCGCATCGCTTCTCGCTTGCACTCTGACGTCAGCCTAATTGTCCTAACCGACACTTACCTCACATATAATCCTCACTCGTCGCTTTTAAAATAAGGAGTGATTATTATTTAATTTTATCTGCTGTACGATAAGTCCTAAACAAGGATATGGCTTTCGATCGATTTTAAGGATTACCATTTTCGAAACTACAATTCGACAGAAGTCATTCTTGGCTCAATTCAGTACGCTATGCTAAATTTGGTGTCAATAGGACAGGCATAAACTGTTTGGTGCCATATTTACACAAAATCCGACGCAAATATATATGGCAGCTATGTCTAAATCTGAACCTATTCTCACAATGCCATGTTTTATAGGAGGTGTATATAAAATGTGAACTTTAATTGGTATACAAAAATTATCCCGGAATTTCTTTCTCTATTATTTTTTATAAAATAACAACATTATTCTTTATTCCTAATTTCAGAGTTACATGTTTCAAATGTTTGATGCAATTTCATTTTGTCACACAAATCGCATACTACATCGTGATTTGAAACCACAAAATTTACTCGTTGATGCTTCGGGTAATATTAAATTGGCGGATTTTGGTTTAGCAAGAGCTTTCAATATGCCCATGAGAGCCTATACACATGAAGTTGTAACATTATGGTATAGGGCACCGGAAATTTTATTGGGTACGAAATTCTATGCGACTGGTATGGATATTTGGAGTTTGGGTTGTATATTTGCTGAAATGGTAATTATAACAAAATATAATTTTCAAATACAATATTTTTACAAACATTTTATTTTTGTTGTTTTTGTTTTCAGATAATGCGTCGTGCCTTATTTCCTGGTGATAGTGAAATTGATCAGTTATATAGAATATTTAGAACCCTGGGAACGCCCGACGAAACAACATGGCCTGGTGTTTCTCAATTACCTGATTACAAAGCCAAATTTCCCAGATGGGAAAAAACGAATATACCCGAAATTATTGTTAAACATGAAGCATTTGATCTCTTTAAGGTAAGTCCTACTATTTTACACATCACATTATTTGTCAATATTCTTTGCTGCTAATATTACCCTCTATTTGATTAATCAAAATAATAAATATATAACTATTTTTTTCTTTTTATAGGCCATGATGGTATATGATCCCAATGACCGAATATCTGCCAAAAATGCAATGTTGCATCCCTATTTTGATAATTTGGAAATTGTCAAACATGTTGATTTACCAAGAGAACCATAATAGTTAATTCAATTCCTTTTTATTTTATATGATTGCCTATCTCAAGTTATTATTTAATGCAATTTATACCGAATGTGTGTTTCGTTTAATAGTTAAGTATAAGTAAATTAATTTATAACTGCCGGGTTTAATTTTTTAAACTTTTTTATATTTATATTTTTAAAACATAGATTTCTTATAGAAATGATGAAATAATAAACGAAGTCTGTTCGATGAAAATGAATATAAGTTAGCCATTTAATTGCGAAACGGGCCGATAAGATTTGTCAAACTCGAGATACTAGTTAACGTCTTTATATGGAAGAATATCTTTAAAATATACCGCGTAAAGCATCGACGTAGCATGATTAAACAAATAGCAAAATATCAAAGTAAATGACAAAATCGTCCGGTACAACGACAGCAGAAATAATTACAACGTCTTAGAACTCAAAAACATTTATTCAACTTCGGGATTCGAAAGGAGCAAAACGAGTTCGGTAAGAATAAAAATGCTAAGCATATCTTATTCATTTCCTAAGGCGTGAATTTTTTATACAATTTTTATAGCCTCTTGCCTTAGGGCCTAAGGCGTAGATTTTTAAAACAATTTTTATAGCCTCTTTGTTGGCCCGAAGGCGTGAATTTTTTAAACAATTTTTATAGCCTCTTGGTTCGGTCTGAAGGCGTCGATTTTTTAAACAATTTTATAGCCTCTTTGCCGGCCAAAAGGCGTCGATTTTTTAAACAATTTTTATAGCCTCTTGGTAGGCCTTAAGGCGTGGATTTTTTAAACAATTTTTATGGCCTCTTGGTAGGCCCTAATGCGTGAATTTTTTAAACAATTTTTATAGTCTCTTGGTAGGCCCTAAGGCGTGGATTTTTTAAACAATTTTTATAGCCTCTTGGTAGGCCCTAAGGCGTGGATTTTTTAAACAATTTTTTTTGGCCTCTTGGTAGACCCTACGGCGTGATTTTTTAAACAAATTTTATAGCCTCTTGGTAGGCATAAAGCCGTAGATTTTATAAAACAATTTTTTTAACCTCTTGGTAGGCATAAAGCCGTAGATTTTATAAAACAAATTTTTTAACCTCATGGTAGGCCCTAAGGCCTGGTATTCCCATAAAAAATTCTTTAAAAAAAATATTCTTTAAAAAATAAACGCTTCTTGGTTTGATATTCCTTTAAAAAATGTTTTTAAAACTCCACACTCCCACGCTTCCTCCTCCTTAACACTTATTCATTATAAACTCGAACTATAGAGGTCGCCACCATTTTGAACCTTGAGTTTAGAAGTATAACCATATTGAGCCACCCATATAAAATTGTATATGAGTTAAAATATGATTCTTAGGACCTTATTGGTTTATTATTCGGAGACACTATTTTTTGTGATTTTTTTTTTATTTTTAATACATTTTATTATTTATTTCTATTGATAATATTTTGGATATAAAATATAAAAACCTCTTTGTCTTGGCATTTCGACCAATCGCAGTGGTTTTGTTGTTTTCGGCACCGCAGTTTGTCTTCGTCGATTTGTGGGATCATCTTTCATAAATGAACTTAAAATATTTTGTACTGTTTCAGTTTCGATGTCTTCGGGAGTACGTCTTGTTGCCTTGGGTTTAAGTCTACGTTTGGATTTCTTTCTTATTTCTACAACCTCATCATCATCAGAATCTGAGGATGAGTCTTCTAGTTTTCTTTCCATGGGCTGTGCGTTTGGATTCTTTTTCAGTTTCAGCTTCATTACATCTTCTGCTGTTTCGGGTGTCAACAGATTTTTGCGTATTGTTACAATTGATTGGTTTATTTGTGAATCAGTGTTGTCGTTCTCTTCTTCCTGATCACCAAATAATTTAAAACTAAATGGTTTATTTTTAAGTTTTCTTTCGCCGAAGATCTCGTCATCGGTATAACCCCAATTATCCACCACTTGGACTTCATCATCATAATCGTAACCCGGTTCAGCTCCTTCAGCATCTTCATCACCGGTTTGATCTTCTTCGGCGTACTCTTCATCATTGTAACCATCATAAGTGACTTGGTGTTGGTGTGGTTGTTGTTGGACATGTTGATAATGGCTATTATAGTCATAGGCGGCAACGTCATCCTCCTCGTTGTCATTACCATAATAATCTACCTCACCCTCATCATTTGTCGCATGACTGTGGTAGTAATCGTCATCATGGCTTGGACCTCCGACCAATTGCAATGCATAGTAGTTTCCTGTATTGGGATCATAAAAATGCATAACATTATCCTCATCCATACCCAAGGGTTGCAATTGCAGCTGTTGATAGGCACCGCTGCGGCTACCATAACGACTGTAATAACGGTTCGTTTGCTGGCCACGGGAATAGGTTTTACGCTGCTGCTGTGGATTTTTGGATTTTTTAGTCGATTTTTTGGCCGAAGATCTACGACTTGGACGAGTTCTACGAACACGATTCGGTTCTACATCTTTGTGTACACTCACTGGTGTCTCGAGAATTTGATGTGTCTGTGAATTAAATAAATTGCTGATGGGATTTGTCATATTTGGCAAACGGAAACTGCGAACAAAATTTTGCCAATACGATTGAAATCCTGTACTTTGTCTTGCGGCTTCATTTTGAAAATGATAAAGACTGGGATAAATACCAACAATTTGAGGAAAATTATATGCGGGGTAGGATGATGTTGGCATTTTAGCTGATTTCGCCAGAGCTATGCTAAGGCATAGGGTAGTGAGGATGAAGTAAATCTGGAAATATAGAAAAAAATTACATTTTTAAAATTGTGGTCTAATATTCGTAAAAAATGGTATTCTTTAAAAAATGATCTGATATTCCTTAAAAAATATTTTTTAAAAAAAACCACGCCTTGTGATCTGATATTCCTTAAAAAATATTTTTTAAAAAAACCACGCCTTGTGATCTGATATTCCTTAAAAAATATTTTTTAAAAAAACCACGCCTTGTGATCTGATATTCCTTGAAAAATATTCTTTAAAAAATCCACGCCTTGTGATCTGATATTCCTTAAAAAATATTCTTTAAAAAATCCACGCCTTGTGATCTGATATTCCTTAAAAAATATTTTTAAAAAAACCACGCCTTGTGATCTGATATTCCTTAAAAACGTCGTGTTAAACGTCGTGATCACATTTCTCCTTACGTTAAAGAGTTCCTCGGTTGTACCTTTGAAAGTTTTGTGAAAAATGTTTTGTTCTATAAGGTATTTAAAACCACTTCCTTGTAGTTGATTTGTTTATGTTTTCTAGATCTGTTACAAAAACAAATACTTTCCGTTTGTGTCCTTTATTGGAAAAATATTTTTTGTAAAAAAACCACGCATTGTGATCTGATTCTCTTAAAAATTTTCTTTTAAAAATCGAACTCATTTATACGATTACTTCAACCTCAATTCATCTTAAATTCGTAGGTTTTGCTTATTTGTTTGTGTTTTTATTGCATAACTGATTTCAACATTTAAATAAATTTAAATATAATATATTATTTTTTTTATTTTTTTTTTTAATTGTTAATTGTGATATAATAATAAGATATTTGAACCTGTAAAAAATTTAGTGGTTGAGAGTAAATAAATATTGAAGTCCTTTGCCCTATGTGATAGGTCGCTGCATCAAATAATGGAATAATAATAATAATAAAAATGTTTTTGAAGCCTTGTGATCTGAATTCCAACTGAATAAAAAACATATTCACTTTAGTTTTAAAAATATTTTGTTGTTTTTTGAATCCACGCCTTGTGATCTGATATTCCTTAAAAAATATTTTTTAAAAAAGCCACGCCTTGTGATCTGATATTCCTTAAAAAATATTTTTTAAAAAAGCCACGCCTTGTGATCTGATATTCCTTAAAAAATATTCTTTAAAAAATCCACGCCTTGTGATCTGATATTCCTTAAAAAATATTCTTTAAAAAATCCACGCCTTGTGATCTGATATTCCTTAAAAAATATTCTTTAAAAAATCCACGCCTTGTGATCTGATATTCCTTAAAAAATATTCTTTAAAAAATCCACGCCTTGTGATCTGATATTCCTTAAAAATATTCTTTAAAAAATCCACGCCTTGTGATCTGATATTCCTTAAAAAATATTCTTTAAAAAATCCACGCCTTGTGATCTGATATTCCTTGAAAAATATTTTTTAAAAAATCCACGCCTTGTGATCTGATATTCCTTGAAAAATATTCTTTAAAAAATCCACGCCTTGTGATCTGATATTCCTTGAAAAATATTCTTTAAAAAATCCACGCCTTGTGATCTGATATTCCTTGAAAAATATGCTTTAAAAATCCACGCCTTGTGGTCGGCTATTCCTTAAAAAATATTCTTTAAAAATCCGCACTTATAGATTCGAAATTCTTTCAAAGAAAATATTCTTTAAAAAAATCCCCGAACTGTTTTTCCATAAATCCACACTTTCTCTTACCTGTGATTTCCCCATGTTCTTTCTATTAATCCTTTAAATTCTCCAACTCCTATTGTCTTTTTTATTCCACTTCTTATACTTCGGGCCTTGTCTTTTTCTTCTGCGTTCTTAGCTGTTCAAAATCTTTGGTAGTACTAAAATTCAGTTTACAATGCCAGTTATAGATTAGGTCAATGGATAACATATTTTGCAGTTTCGACGACTTAACCCAATTCTGCAAACTCATTATTATTGATGAATAAAATGTGCTGCCACACAAAAAAACTCACTTCCATTCATTCATTTTTTAATAACCAATTCAACACCGAAGAACATTGCTATTATTTGATGATTATTGGCATCAATCCATCTGTGATGATGACCATTTGTATTTTTTGAAAAATAATTTGAATATGAATACAAATGAAAGTTGGTTAGTCGATCGGTCAGTTCGATCATAAGGGGCAATTCAAAATTCTGTCTGCTAGAAAATAATTTCTTCGAAAGAAAAAAACTACTTCCAACTCGACCATCATCGCCAGCACCACCACCACCACCACCACACTCATCATCATAACCGTAACACTGGAGAAACT